TGGCTGGTGGCATGGCTTAAGTGGTAGAACACTGCCTAGCAAATGCAAGGCCCTGAGTTCAAATTCCAGAACAGCAAAAAAAAACTTCTATTGGAACCTCCTGAGGCTCTAATATACTTGAAGCCACTTGAACTCCTTTGGCGGGTCCAAAACAAGCATAAAGCTGACAAAATTAATCTTCCCACCTCCCCCTCCCCTTCCCCCCTGCAGAAGTTTGGGCTCTGTTCCAGTACTAGGCTTGGCTTTTGCTTCAGGGAAGCCCTGGCTTCCTTAGTTGCCTCCTGCCCACATTTCAGCTTATTTAAACTTCTCATTTCTGTATGTAAGGTTCTTTTGGTACCTGTGTGTCTATATGGGTCTCTTAAGATTCCCCATATTTTCTAGTGAGCTCAGCAAGGCCTTTAAAAGATGTAACTGCATTTTACCTGGGACTTGATGGTCATCAGAAGTGTGCCACCTAACTGGCAGCAGAAGCCTCTGGTCATCTCCTCTTGCCTACATCTTTCTACTTGGTGTTGGTTTGAGAGCAAAACATTATACTCACTCTGGTCCCTTCCTTTCATGATTCTGTTAATTCTGTTGCCTTTTTACATCTGGCACAAGAGCAGAGTTTTCAAGTCAGTGCCTTGGGAGGGTAAGGCCAACAACCCTGAATGATAGTCTGTAGTTTTAACGCCATCTGTTCCAGAGAAAACCCTAATGTCTACTAGGTAAGGGTGGTCAGCATGTGTCATTTAACTGTGATGGGACAATCATTAGCTGGTAGGAAAAAAAATAGCAAAGTGGCCATGTCCACAAGTTACATTAAACACTACTCCTTTTTGGCTTGAACCTATGTGAGTTCTCACTTTCTGTATTCAACATTTCCCGTCTAGGTAACACGGGAATGAATACCAGGTTTTATCTGAGATTTGTAGTGCGGGGCTTTGAGGCCTAGGGAAATCAGGTGGCCTTCATTTATGCTAATTTATGATTAGCGCGTGCCATGTAAATTTAGCTAACACTGAAAAATTGCAAGCATTTCAACCGTATCACATGCTCATTTTAATGAATTTTTTTTTTTTTTGAGGAGGTGGTTAGAAATTCACTTTCCGACATGTTCAGGATGGCTGGTTTCTTTTAAGCATTTGGTGTCCTGTAATGACAACCCCTGCAGCAGGAAGCATTTGACACCAACTCTGTGCAGCTGGCTTCCACCATCATGAATCATATCGCGCCCAGTTATTAATAATTGAAGGAGCTTGTCACTTCCTGCTGAGTTCTGTGTGTAATTTATGGATTAGGAATCCTTGCTAAAATCTCAGGGAAAGTTAATTTCATCAAATGAGATATGTTTCGATTTCAATTCTCACTCCCTGAAGTTATGTCTGCGTGACTGTTTTCATCCAGAAATACTGTGCGTTGATCGTATTGGTTTTCTGTCTTCAGCACAGTAGACTTCCTTCTTCAAGGCTCCTGAGAGCTATTTCACATTCTTTCTTAAACCTTCTTTGAGAACTGATGGGCAAGTCTCACAGTTCTGTAAGTTTCTGTTTGTTTATCTGGAAGAGGCTAAGCCTGACCATCTTCTAAGGTAGGTATGTGGAGTCACTGTCACCAGGAGGCTTGATGCTAGATGGTGTCAGAGACCCTTCCTTCCGCAGCACAGAATCAGGAGCCACGGAATAACTCTCTCTTCCATTCTTTTCGTCATGGGATCTTCTTCAGAAGAAAGTTTCCATTGAGTCTTCTGGATCTGGAGCACCATTTTGAAGCTCCTTATCTCCCTGTTTAAGAAAGAAAGAGACGTTCTCAGGCATAAAGTCTTTCTTTCCTCTTGGGATGAGATGGAACTAAAATTGCTTTGGTTCTAATATTTTTTTCACCCACAAACTTTTATTAAATAAAAAGTTCAAACATGAAAATGAGAAGAGAAACACACAACAAATGCCACATACCTTTCACCTGGCTTCACCAGGAATTAACTTTGTGGAACACTTGATTTATTTTCTACTCTGTTGGTTTCATGATTTCTCCCTCTGTATCTGAGTTGAGAGAGAGATGTCATACTTTGCTAAACAGTGCTCTTGAAGTGAATCTCAAGTCCCATGTTAGCACAAAAAATAAGGATTCAGAACTGAATTGATTTGTTAAAAGGCCAACCAGAGCCCAGTTCACTTGTCCAGATGTAGCTGGGTTCACTAAAAAACAGGTGTTAGTTTAGAAGACTACTTATTTTTGTATTTCACACTAGCTCCCTTCCAAAACAAAGATCAGAAGAACATAATACCAGTGTTCCCTTTTTGTCTGCTTTAATAACTAAAGAGCTGGCTATAGCTGACAAAGTAGCTCAAGCAGGAGAGCACCTGCCTAGCAAACACAAAGCCTTAAGTTCAAACCCTACTACCACCAAAGAAAACAAACAAACAAAAAACTCCAGACAATATTAAGCATTCAAAAGAGCTAACTGTATAACTGCTCACAGCTCTGATTTGGTAACACCTGCATGTAATCTTAGCCCATTTTTATGCATGCAAGACATAGCCAAGAAACAGGAAATCTGTAGAAATAGATATGAAGGAAGTCTGTTCCCAAAGCTTAGGGACTTTGTCCCCAGACAAGCCCCTAAGGCGTTCCTCTTACAAGGCTTCTTTACTTTTTATATGGGGGTTCTCATAATCCTCCTGACCTGGTGTAGAAAGAGAAAATGTGACTGCCCTGGTAAGCGCATCATAGTAGCAGGAAGTGGTAGGGATCTGACAGCAGGAGAGCAGAGCTAGGAAAAACCATCAAGCCCCACTAAAAACTTTCCTCAGTGCCTGACACTTGTCATTTAATCTTTACCCTACCCTATAAAGTCCATGAGGACAATGAGGCTCTGAGACCTAAAATGACCTGGTCAGCAGGCAACACTGAGGTGTGGATGCAGTTCTGTCTGGGTTGATCTACAGGGATCTGAGACAGGTGGTGTAATGTGGGGTCATAGAGTGTCATACACAGCTGGAACTCTTCTGGAACCCACTAGACCCTCACTGCACACATCGTAATTGTCGGGTGTACCATGATGATATTGAGACATGGAGCAAAGTTTAAATTTTGGTGTAATGGCCCTCATGCATTTTGCTGGTACACATGACAGAGGGGATTCTCTCCTCCAGTTTCAGCTAAGCAGAGCACTCAGTCTCATTGGTGATCCTTGGTCCGTGGCCTTTGTACCATGCCATGTCCTCGGGGAGGGTCCAATAAGTCATGGTGGTGGAGAACCATGGTCACTTCCCAAACTTCATACTTTCTGCCTCACAGTTTCACTTCCTCCACGTATCTGCTCAGTGTCTACTACGTGCATGGCACAGTGCTAGTCACTGGGACGTAGCTGTGACTGGGTCCTGCCTTGTATGACGCTCTCATGAGAAGCATAGACCGTGAACCAGTCACCTCACTGGAGGAAATTAAGAGTCAGACTTGAGATAGTCTAGGAAGGAAAAGTGGGACCATGTTCCTCAGATCTCTTAGAAGAGGATCACCTGATGATAGGCTCACAGGAAATGGAGCCAGCCTGTTGTACAGGCAGAGGTCTAACTCCTGTCTAGATCCTCAGCCCTCACATCCAAGGTCCGGAGCCATGTCTTCCCCAGTACTCTCCCTGTCCCACTCCTCCTCCCTCCAGCTATAAGTAACCTTCCTTCCTACAAGCATTCATCCCTCTAACTTCTACCTGCTCTGAACATGTGGTACATCAGACCAATAGCTGCCACCCAGATGCATGGAATGTGTGGCCTGACGAGGAGTGCGTGTCACAGCCATCGTGCTCATGCTAGGTGCCTCCAGGTGGTAACCCATGTCCTCAGCCCAGCCACCTGGGAGGTGGAGCCATTGCGCTTCCCACTTTGCTGATGAGGAGGCATAGGGAGGTCAGTACCCCACCTAGACAGAAAGATTGAAAGGAAATAATCCAAAACACACTGAGTGCTGTGGGGTGCCCTGGGAAGCTATAGGAGGGAGCCCTGTTCTAGGAAGTCACGAGAGCCAGTCCCATGGTATGACCAAGGGCTCAGGCTGAGCAGCCAGACTTGGACTCTGGTCCCATCATTATGTCTTACTAGCTATGTGTTTTCTAAGTCAATCACGAAACTTCCTAGACCTCACGTCTGGCCCCTGTAGAGTAAGGATGCTAAGATTCCACTTTACTGAGTAAAACATGGTCATCAGGCAGGCTCAGCAGTGGTGAGTTCAAGAAATGGTAACTTAGGGCTGGACGCATGGCTCGAGTGGTAGAGCACTTGCCTAGCAAGCACAAGGCCCCGAGTTCAAACTCCAATACTGCAAAAAAAAAGAATAAAGAAATGGTAACTTGGCAGCTGGGGATGTAGCTCAATTTTAGAGTGCTGCCTAGAAATGGTAACTCACTGCTCCCTTCTTTGTGGTCCAACCTTGACTTGCTTCTTGGTGACTTATGATCCACTCATGTGCCTCTCACCGGCCCCTCCCTGAGGCCATGCCCTTCTCCTAGGTGCTCAGAGAACATTGATAGGGTGAACTTACGAGGGAGGGAATGAACAGTTGTCACCACGTGGCAGGGCTCTTTTTTTGTGTCAGCACTGGATTTAGCCTCTGACAAACACCCCCTAACACACCAGCATTGGAAGAGAACATGCTTTTTTCCTCTGAAGTACTGAGCCATCTGGCAGTGTCTGACTCCACAGTGCTGGTGGGTACCTGAGACCAAGCACAGCTGGATTCTTAGGGTCTCATGTAAGAGCCAGCTCCCACTGCCTGTCATATCAGAAGAGTGTTGTTTTGACAGCCACAAACAATGAGTGAAAAATGGCAGTGGTGGGAGATAAACAGGGAAGACCAAAGTGTCAAGATGTAGGACCCATCTTCAAACAGGTCCACCTGTTGCCCCAGGTTTTCAAGTTGCTAACTGTTGTGTGTATGTAGGTGGGCTGCCAGGTGTCTGCCAGAGGTCTGATCTGTGTCCCTCTCTGTCCCCCATCCCTGTCCATATCCTTGCCCTGCAGGAACGGCCTCACCAGCTGCCGGATGCGGACTGAGAGCGAGCCGTGTGGCTCCCCAGTGGTCAGCGGGGACCCCAAGGAGGATCACAACTATAGTAGTGCCAAGTCCTCCAACGCTCGGAGCACCTCACCTGCCAGCGACTCCATCTCCTCCTCCTCTTCCTCCTCCTCGGCTGACGACCATTACGAGTTTGCCACCAAGGGGAATCAGGAGGGCAGTGAGGGCAGCGAAGGGAGCTTCCAGAGCCATGAGAGCCACAGCGAGACAGAGGATGACGACAGGAAACCCAGCCAGAAGGAAGCCAAGGACGCCCTGGGGGACAGCGGGTACGCATCCCAGCACAAGAAGCGCCAGCACTTCGCCAAGGCCAGGAAGGTCCCCAGCGACACACTGCCCCTCAAAAAGAGACGCACAGAAAAGCCCCCTGAGAGCGACGATGAGGAGATGAAAGAGGCAGCCGGGTCGCTCCTGCACTTGGCAGGGATTCGGTCCTGTTTGAATAACATCACCAATCGGACGGCAAAGGGGCAGAAAGAGCAAAAGGAAACCACAAAAAATTGAAAACAAGTCACCGATTTGTTTTGAACTTATGGCCATTTGGTTTCAGCATGTCAGGAGATTTCTAATGATTTGTGGCAATATCAGCTATATTTTTTTTCCTTTTGGTTTGGTTTTCTTTCTTTTCTTTACTTTTTTTTTAATTTGCCCCCTCTTCTTTGTTTTGGACCCTTAAGAATTTTATTTTTAAAGGAGATTGAAGCCATAGAACTCATATTGACACTCAGCTGTTTTACAAAAGCTTTTCATTATCTGAAGACAAAAAAACCGAAAAAGCCAAAATTAATATTGCTTCCTGCAGCCTGTCAGAAACATGGCTGAATCCACAGGGTTGTCACCGTTAACACCACGGGAGTCCACGTGTGGCACTTATAGTCATGCGTGCAGAGTAATCATCATTCAGGCCCCCAACCCTTAGGTTTAAAAAGTCAGGGTGCCCCTCCAGGTGCGTGCAGAGTGAAGGCACAAAGCAATGGGAGAAAAGGAAGAGCCCCACGTCCCCCAAGATGCAGGACCCACACTGGTGGCACCCAACATCCTGTTGTGCCAGGAATGGCCTCAGCATTGCCCTGCAGTAAGCACAGGGGTCAGCCACCAGTCCTCTGTGTTTCTTAACCTACAGCCTGGTAACGTCTCACGAGTTGAGCATTGGACTGTTCAGATACATGAGGTGTCAGTAACTAAGGAGAAACGGGGTACATTTTTAGAGCTCTTGTGAATCACTGAATTCTGTTCTATATTAAATTAAGAAAATGTTCCAAAAGCCATAAGCCTGAAGGGTGGCCCTGCACACGTGCATGTGCACACACATGTGAGCACACACATACTCACAAGAAGTAGACTAAGAGAAAACAGGCCATGTCTTCTTCACTGCCCAAGTGAAAAGCAACCAGGTTCAAGAAATGACAATAGCTGTTAAGGAAGGAAATAATGGTAGAGATTCTATTTCTATCAAAACTATTTGATCCAAGTTTAAAAAAAAAAAAGTGCTACAGAGCCTGCCATTAGTATTATGGTATATTTTTTAAAGATTAAAGGCACATTGATGGACACACACAACAAAAGTCAAACATGGCAAACAATAAAATATTAACTCCTATACTGTCTCAAAAGGAGTTTGCAATTAATGTCAGGACTCACCATGTCAAAAATCAGTAATTTCCACACTCAGCCAGTGTAGCCAGCAGAAATTTCTGATCCACAATGCATGGGTTCCTTTGAAGAAAAAAAAAAAAAAAAGGAAAAAAAATCACAAAACAAACTTTTTTTTATTCAAAATAACAAAGTTCTTGTAAGGTAAATAATGTATTTAGCATGAAGCATGAATTATTTTCATATAAATATAGAAAATAGAGGAAAGGCTATGCCTCTAATTTTTAAGCCCTTAGGCTTAGAGGTTCTTTTGTTTTTCTTTTTCTTTCTCTTTTTTTTTTTCTTTTTTTTTTTTTCCTCCAGGTTATTTTGTTTTGGTTTTTTGAAGCAGGTGTTTAAGGTTTAACCTTCTTCAGGGACAAATTCTGACTGTTGGGGAACTTACTCTGCAATATAAAAAATATCTTATGCTCTGGTAGGGCTTGGATGGTTGAACTCTATACTGCCTTGTCTGCACTCAGCCCTGACCCCCTCTGATTCTCTGTTGAAGAGTATGTCCTTCCTCTTTGTCTGTACATGTTTTAACATGACGCAATAATTTGAGGGCAAACTTAGTAGTGAGTGTGTATGATAGAATCAAGAGAATTATGGGACGCTTACTTGAGAAAAACCATTGCCGTGATTTGGTTCTAGGAAAAAGGCAGTGAATAATTATGCAAATTCGCCAGAAGAAGGGGAAATGTGCTAATGGGCCTTATTAGGTGAGGGTAGGAGATGGGGTACACGTGAAGGAGGAAGTGATACGATATGGGGAGTTAGGAGGGCCAGCCCTAGACATTTTCCTGCGACAGTGCCATTTTGCAGTAAGAAGGAAGGGCTGGCCATCTCTACCACCTCAGCACACTAACCAACCTGGCAGTAAGATCACCTAGATTGTGAGAACTGAATTTAGACATTGATGTCACGCAGACCAGGAACTCCTGTTATCTATGCCTAAAAAAAAAAAAAACGGGGGGGGGGGCAGGTAGCTCCAAAGAGACATCTCTAAAAAGAATATGATCTTCCACCCAATGGAGGGAAGTTGTAAAACACAAACCAACACCCACGACCGTGGCTTAGGATCTGATGGTCAGGGAGAGGGAACTAAGGTAACCTTGAACTTTTAAAAAGGGGTTGTTGTGGGCCTTTAAAGCCAAGCCCACCTGCCAGGGCCAGGTACAGTGAGGAATCAGGACCGTGGGAATTACCTGGTGCTTTCCCCATCCCTGTCTCTCTGTGGGCTGCTGGGGGAGAACCAGGAAGAAATCCACACCTATACAGCAGGTCAAATTCCATACCCATGCCTGAACCTGAACCTAAATTTTTCTAGCATGTTGGCCCAGGGTGTGGATGGGAATACAGATGTCCTTCTGCAGTGCTCTGTTCCCTCTTTCTCCCCAAACATCTGACACCCTAAAAAGCCATCCACCGCTGTGAAACCTGAGCGACACTTTTTGATTTTCGATGTCACCTGACCAAGCCCAAAAGATGCCCGCCCCCGTCATCCATCCTGATCAAATTCAGACCTCTCTGAAAGGCAGAGGTACGCAGTGCTGTTTCTGGCAGGGGACTTCTTCCAATGAAAAACCCCACAGTGGGCTGTCTCCCCTCATTTCATTTTTCTGAAGGAGGCAAAGGCCTCTTTTAGAAAATAATAAAATGCAATGTGTGTGATTTACTTTTCTGATCTCTCTAAGAAATAGAGAAATATCTTATAAAAGTGTGTTCTTAATTCCAGAACCACTCTTTTTGCATTAAATACCTCATCGGGCAGCTTTCTAAATGTTATTTCCTGAGCCTCCCTTGGCACCTTCATCAGATCCTCTGAAAGATTTGTTGGGTAAACGTTAACTGGGGGTACTTTTTTCTGTTTTTCTTCTGTTTTTGGAGGCATACACACTATGCATAACCCAAGCAGTGGCTCAATTGTGTTTAACTTTGTATTTTGATTGTTGAGGAAAACAACAAAACAAAAAAACACAAGTATCGATGTGTATGTGGCTGTTTGTAGCGAATTCATTGCAGAATGAGGTTGTCCGTGTTTTTAACAAGCCAAGGGGCAGGAGGCACCCTCTTATCCCCTCCTCCAAGAGCAGTAGAGAATTTAAGCACAAGCCTATTTGTGAAAGAATATTTTGCTTAAGTGTAACTCACTTTAGTCTCAGAATTCCTTCCCAACGTCAGGTGTTCTAGCTTCCAATCCAGCCTGTGTTTTCATTAGTCTGACCGATCACCTGAGCACCGAAAAGGGGTGTGGTGTCTTCGCTTTCATTTCTCCAGTTCATGTGTCATTCCAGTATCTCACATATTCACACGGGGCAGGGGGGAGGGGAAACGGGGAACTATAGCAATATTTAAAGACGCTTTGAGAACAACCGTGTACACATCAGCACCATGACATCTACGATCACTTGCTATTGGCCCTCAGACACATTTAAGAGAAAGAGAGTATAATGTAGCTCTTTTTCCTTAAATGATATACACAGTTATTTTTAATCCTACTATAATTGTCTTTTATCATTAGTACTGTGTGGAAAGGGTTCGCACTCATAGATTTTTCCCCAGTCTTATAATATACCATAAGCTCCTAATTCCTTCCTATCCTCTCTAATCAGTGTACTATCAAGAGTCTTTTGGTAAAGCCATCTAGCTAAAACTAAAAAATGAACCAAATCCACATTAAATGGTGGTTTGAGAAAACCATGGCCAAGACAACTGGCAGGTTTCACTCTTGGGGCTAAAGGAAGTGTGTCAGAAGCCTCTTCCAAGAATAGATTTTTCTTGTGTCTAGCACCTGCTGGCCACAGCAGTTCCTACCACAGGGCATTCCGGAGATCATTGAGTTGCATGGCGCCCAGGCAGGGGACTCTGTAGAGTGGAAGCCATGGGGATGGCTTTTGTGCCCAGACCAGAGTCCCAACACACCAAGCCTGCTCAGTGACAGGCACTGCTGATTGGAATTTCAACGGTGTCACTGTGGGATCTCCCGCCTTCCGCTGAAGGGCTCTTACAGGTGACCTGCACGGGAGGGTTTTCCACATGGCGTCAGATTAAATTCAACGTGATTTCTCTTTCCCTTTCGACTTTCTTCAGGTTGGGACTCATTTCTTTCTGGTGGATCACAGCTGCCCAGATGTTGCAAGTTACTTTTATGTTTCTGTAGAAAAGTATTTTTTTTTCTTTCATCTTCAAGATTTTCTTTTTGCCACCAAAAGAAAACATTGGAACTCTATGTCCCCTCTTGATTGTGACTTACCAGTGTTGACAGTTAAGTCCTTAGTCTTGTAGGCCCCACCCCCAATGCTATATCAAACACTGTTATGCATATAATGCAACACTGTGATCTAATTTAAATAATACTTTTTTATTATTTATACTACTATATATAATATACATCAACACTTTTGCTATATAACCTAAGTGATAAACCCCTTTTAGTTACCTGCCAAACTCTGGACTTTGGTTTTTACTGCAGTTAACACAGTTACAAAATTGTAATGGTGTCTCTTCCCCCCTCCCCTTTGTAACGGAATGTGTAAATCAAAGTATATACATTGTGTGGTGTCCCTGTCCCTTGGAATTTCATGAGGATTTACACCCGACATTCAGTGTTCTGTAGAGACCTGCCTACCTTTGTGAACTCATCTGTTGGTCCCTGTTTCTTCGAGAGCGCGCTAGCCATGGTGGCTAACTCCTTGTGTCCTCTCCTGCTGGTTATTCTTGAATTAAGCACAGACTTGTCAGCTTGGTTGCTTTATCATGAATAATGGGTGTGACCTTGTCACTCTTCCACAGTTCAGCAAACAAGTGCTAGCTTCACTGACCAAAAATTAAGGAAGGAAAACACCATTTTTTTTTTTAAAAGACCCATCTTTTAACGGCTGAAACCTATGTGCATTTGGTGCTGCATTTTAGTGTCGTGCTTCTGAAAAGATCATTTCTGACTTACTGTGAGATGCTCGCAAGTACCCTTCCTGTTGTTTCCTTGGTGTGGAAACCAAGACTATTTATTTGGAATATACACAGCAGTGTTTTGCTTTTGTTTTTGTTTTTTTTTCCACTGTATTTCATTTGCAAAAGTGGGGAACAGTCTTCTCCACTCTTTTGCAAATAATTGATATTCCATATTGGATTCTCTAAGGACTTCGATATGGTGAACCTGTCAAACCTAGAAATTGTATTTCATCCTTGACTGTGGTCTGAGTTCTCCTCTCCCCCACCTTTTTTTTTTTTTTAAAAGAGGAAACGTAGCACACTTTCAGTTTTCAAAACATTCACCATTTCTTGAGTATGTGTGTTGAGGCCACCCAAGGTCATAGCTGACTGTAACCAGTGTCACACTGTGTCATTCACACTCACTACTTATACTGCCATGGTGAAAATGTGGAGACAAAGTATCCGTGTGTGTCTGGGAAGCATATACACTTGTACATTTTTTTATACTCTGATTCTGTAACATTTCTGAGTTTTGTTTCTGTTTTACAAAAGAAAAAAAAACCAACACAGTGATAAAGCAATCAAAAGACCAACAGGTTTCTGGTTGAAACTTGGGGTCCTGTGACCCTTCCTGGCCAACAAACCTACAGTGGCCAAATTAATTTACAAGAGTAATAATTTTTTCAGCAGCCAACTTTTTATTCTGTATTTTCTGTAGGAAACTGCCAATATCATGGATAGAAAGGGAGAACCATAAAAGAGAAAGAAAATGATATGCAGTGATGTTTGTGGTAAGTCAGGCACGATCAGCCGAACTCTAGGGACTTGGTAGTGTTACTTTGGAAGAATCCATACTTGCATTTTGCATTCTTCATATGTAATCATATTGCCAAAGACAAACTATTTCATCATTTATTGTAAATAACACTTTTCCCCAGACCTACCATAAAGTTTCTGTGATGTATCGTCTTCCAGTTGCAATAAAAATTACTGAGTTGCATTAATTGAAAAACGCCATTGTGTGTGCTGTGTTTCTAGATGCAAATACTAACTAAGCTGTCATTTGTTTGAGAACTCACTGTAGGGTGTTGGGTGAAATGTTTTGCAGTCTGGTTTTAGGGTCTCAGCTGCACTTAACTGTACCCATCCCCTTCTATGCTTTCATTTCACACC